GTATCTATTTGCGGCAGCCGTATCTATTTGCGGCAGCCGTATCTATTTGCGGCAGCCGTATCTATTTGCGGCAGCCGTATCTATTTGCGGCAGCCGCAAATAATTACGGCAAATGGTAGCTACCAATAGCTATTTACGGCAATGGTAGCTACCAGCCCAATCATTTACGGCAAGTGTCTTTAGATAGGTTCAAAGTCTTATTACATATGCATATTCTGGTGGAAGAGTGTCACTCCCTTATCTCCTTGGTTTAATATACCTGGAATTGTACAACAATTGATAAGTTCTGTTTATCAAAAATATCCTTATATACACACCCCTACAAAAAGTATCGACTCACTTGATGATCTGTCAAAATAATCAAATAAACGGGTAATACAAATACTCGTTTTTTTACTAAGCAAATCGATGTTGTGTATTAGTAAGAAAATGTTTTTTGAAATGATTATCATAACACTTTAAAATATCACATCGGGCTAATTGTTATTGATAATTTTATGATGTTTAAAAGTCAAATTAAAATTTTTTGAAAATTTTTCAAAAAAGTAGCACTTAGAGCTATTTTAAGATACAATGTTTTAACACATCTTGGAAACTTAGAAAATGTTGTTCCATTTGTTCCCAAATGTATATATATACACGTTCATAATTATTGATCAAATATTCATGGAGCATTAATACAAAATGTAAAAATAATGAAAAAATTTTCATCAACAGTTTGTATAATATTTTTACATAATAAATCTTTATTAAATTTATATCAAAAGTATCAAAAAAGTATAAATATTTCATTCATTTATTCAATATTTTGTCAGGTTTCCTTTTGATTCAATTACAACTTGGACCCTTTGAGGAATGCTATCTACTAATTTTTGCAAATAATCACAATCAAGATTTACCCATTAATCCATTAAATAAGAAATTAATTCATTTGTATTTTTTTGGGGAGCAATAGTAGTTTGATCTTAAATGCTTTTATTGCATGAGTTACTTGTGACTGAGAATGATTGAGTGCACCAGCAATGTCGCAAACGCTTTCATCTGCTTCCCAACATCCAATTATTCAAAGTCTGTTAATTGAGACATGATGTTTTAATTGAAATAACAAATTGAAAGTTCAATCTTTTTTTTTTTAAAAAAAATCTAGTTTTGGTTAGATATTTCAGCCGCAATTGCCCTTTAAAGTTTGTTTGCACATAATGATAATCATCTTGTATAAAAAATTCATTCCGAATTTTTTTACGTTTTGTATTAATGCTCCATGAATATTTGATCAATAATTATGAACGTGTATATATATACACTTGAGGACAAATGGAACAACATTTTCTGAGTTTCCAAGATGTGTTAAAACATTGTATCTTAAAATGGCTCTAAGTGCTACTTTTTCAAAAAATTTTCAAAAAATTTTAATTTGACTTTTAAACATCATAAAATTATCAATAACAATTGGTCTGATGTGATATTTTAGAGTGTTATGGTAATCATTTCAACAATATTTTTTTACTAACACACAGCATCGATTTGCTTAGTAAAAAAACGAGTATTTGTATTACCCGTTTATTCGATTATTTTGACAGATCATCAAGTGAGTTGATACTTTTTGTAGGGGTATGTAGATAAGTAATAAATAATAATTAAAGACACAAAATAATTGATGTTACAAATAATAATTAATTATGTGTCACGTTTCCAGATGTAAATATTATTGTACTACATAAGACGTTGTATATGATTATGAAGTAAATTGTTACACAAAAAAACTTCAGTCATCCTTCACATCATCTCCTACAATCTAATAACTTTCTATTATAAAATTGTCTGGCTTCCATGACGTGCTTTGTTTAACTCATGGTTAAAACAAAATAATATCAACTTGAAAAATAAAACAGCTAATCAATTATACCCAATT